GTAAAAAAAAAAAAAAAAAAAAGATTAACAACAAAATTGTCTGGCTTTAATGATCATTACTTAGGATTATTTTATAAGTGGATCCAACAGTAATGCCTCAGCACATAAGTGTGATATAAGTGTGACCGTTTGATATAAACTGAGTATTTATACGTTTTTAAACCAAATGACCCATGTTGTTTTCAAAGTACGTCACAGCAGCGTCCATCTGTTATTTTAATAAGCGAAACTGTTAGCCAATCATAGCAGTAGTCGTTTACTTGTGAGTCTTGAATGCGTCCCGCCTATAAAAACAGACTGTTCTGCAGAGAGGTTCAAATAGAAAATAACCTATTGTGATGGTTTTTTAAAAAAAAAGTAAAATCACACTAACATTATAAGTGAACCTCAGGGAGCATTATAAATTAATTAAAAAATGCAGTTCATGACCCCATTAAAAAATATAATTACTTAGGATTATTTTATAAGTGGATCCAACAGTAATGCCTCAGCACATAAGTGTGATATAAGTGTGACCGTTTGATATAAACTGAGTATTTATACGTTTTTAAACCAAATGACCCATGTTGTTTTCAAAGTACGTCACAGCAGCGTCCATCTGTTATTTTAATAAGCGAAACTGTTAGCCAATCATAGCAGTAGTCGTTTACTTGTGAGTCTTGAATGCGTCCCGCCTATAAAAACAGACTGTTCTGCAGAGAGGTTCAAATAGAAAATAACCTATTGTGATGGTTTTTTAAAAAAAAAGTAAAATCACACTAACATTATAAGTGAACCTCAGGGAGCATTATAAATTAATTAAAAAATGCAGTTCATGACCCCATTAAAAAAATATTCTTTGTAGCCCAGTTTATTTTAAGCTCAAATTAAGTGTTTTGTACGTTTTAAAAATCAAGTTAATAACAATAACAACTAAAAAAAATAATAGGGTACTGTTTTCAAAAAGTACTGTGTGAAGAAATACTCTGTTACAGAAGCATATTAGTATTATTAAACACACCCACCTTGACAGACCTCAAACTCCTCATATTTCTCCTTGGGGTTTATGCATGCCATAATTATACCCTTGTATACATACACATTCATCAAAACATCAGGATATGAAAACAGATCCATTGTTTGTATTCTCCAGGCAAAACTTAATTTCGAATTCGCCTCATGAAACTGCTTGGTTTAGACCTTGGGCTAACGTATTAGTAAAACACACCAGTTCAGCTATATATAAGAAAATTAATTGTATTATTCAATAATGCATTAATCTGATTAAACTTTTACAATTTTAAAAGACTTTCTATTTCATATAAATGCTGTTCTTTTAAACTTTCTATTGAACAAAGAATCCTGAAAGAAAAAATAGATAACACAACTGTTTTCAACATTGATAATATTAAGAAATGTTTCTTGAGCTCCAAATCAGCCCATTAGAGTGATTTCTGAAGGATCATGTGACACTGAAGATGAATGAAAATTCAGCTACAGAAAGTTCAGCTTCACCATCAAAGGAATAAATTAAATGTTTAAATATATTAAATATAACAGTTATTTTAAATTGTAATAATATTTCACTATATTAATGTTTAACAATGTGTTTAATGCATACTTAATGCAGACTTTATATGATAAGTATTACATAAATATATTATATAATATATACACTATATAAATCACATTCTGCCACAGATCTATAATGGGTGTAATTAGTACTGACCAGCTCTTGCATACACAGCATGTTTATTTATTTCCTTAGTGTTTAGAAATCAAACACTCATTAAAAGACCACCTCAGGTAGCTTTATTTTAGAAGCTAATTCATTCTAAGTAAAGTAAATAAATGAAGTAATATGTAATATAAAATGCCTCTATCTATAATTAGTCTGTATATATATATGCACTCTACAGTCAATGGTGCCCATTATGACTGAAATCTGTAACCATCGATCCCTGAAATTTCACAGCCTGCTGACTTCCATTATATGTAGATAACAATCTAATTACAGGTTTGTTCGCAGATTCCGGTTAATAGTGATAAATGCATATGTTCATTAGACACTGCAGAGAAAAAAGATTAAACTGCACTCTTTCTTTTCTTTCAGTTTTCCAGGTTACAGTGACCTTTGACAGAAAAAAGACCACAGGCTTTGTTTGTGATGGCAGAACAATGACAAAATGATGGATGTAAAATATGGGGCCTAAAGCAAAAAAACTGTAATACATAATACATTATTTACTGTGATACATAATAGTTGTGCCATATTTTGTCATAATTTGTGTCAAGTAAATACCACAGTACAGAGATGATACCAGATGGTGGTACTGTTACTTGCTTTGATATATACCATATTATGAATGCCATGATATTGCCATGGTACATTCCCATGGTACAAAAATATGCAGTATTATCATGGCACATATTGGAAAAAACATTTACATTTTGTCCAAAAATCATTGCATTGCCACCATTGGTGCCATCTCCAAATAACCATAATACAATTTTTTGTACTTTTAAGTTACTGAAGCTCAGACTAGAGATCAGCGAGACCTGGCACAACAGAATGCAGTGCGGGACAACACTTGATGGGCGAGTGTGGGCAGGCAGACACTCGTGTGTGTGTGCGGGATGCGGGAGAATAAAAGGATTTGTGGGACTCCCGTAAAATAGAAATATCTAAACATAAAACATCTAATAACAAATAAATTGTTATTCATCTATTGCACAAAAGCAACAACAACTAATATAAAATAAAAATTATTAACAGGTGCAAGCATAAGTGCAGTTTCTACTTATCACACCTGTTTGCAGCGTTGAGCAATGCAACCAATCACAGACATATCTATTGATTTCTGGAATGCAATGGCCAATCAGAGGTGTTTAAGTTAGAATCCACTCACTGCTCAAAACGGAGTTATTGTGCTGTGCTGAAATTTGTGTGCTCACGAATCCTCTCATTATAACACATGTGTTAGTGTAGACATTATGAAAGATTCATTGTGCATATATTCCTTGTGTTTTAACAGAGCTTTGTGAGATTGTGTTGAACTGAGATGTCAGCATTTTAGTGGTTTTTGGATTTTAGCGATCCAAACCATGCACACAGCAGCCCATGAATGTTGCGGGTGGGAGCAGGACAAGGTAACATATATTTCTGTGGGAGCGGGCGGGTGC